AATATAATATAATTAAATTCTGAATTAATTCTTTAATTCTGAACAAATTCTTTACCTCTCAAAACGTTTTCAGTTATTGAAAAGGTATATTCCTATAGAACTCTAGTTGATGGTTGCAGCTTTAAATACTATTATCAATATTAATGAGTGTTTTTAATAAAGAAAACACAGGTTAAGTACTGTATGGCTGGCTTAGTATTGCAAAATTTTAGGCATGTATGGGAGCCAGATTGTTACGGCATGACAAGGAGGGTTTTTTCCACCCACAAGAACACAATACTGCATAAGTAAAAAGTGCTTCAGGACACTAAAGGATTTTCAAACCCTTTTTTTCCTTGCAAGTAGTAACTACATTTCATCCCTTTAAAATATTACTAATGTTTATAAAACACATGAACTTTCAGATCCCTGTGCTTTTCTGGTGTTGAGTGAACAAATAGAATTTTCTTACACTGAAAGCAGAGGGACATTACAGAGGGTGGAATCAGAATTTCTGAGATTTGTTGAGGTTTTTCTGTGTTTTCTTTTACCGAGTGATATTTTTTATTACTTATTTTTTAAGGTTTCCTGCCTCAGGAAAAAGTAGGTTTTCAAAAACAATGATTTTGTAAGATAAAACTGCCAGACATAATAATTGTTTTTTATATACGTAGACAGATGCAACACTAATTTGAGGGTGTTTCTGAGATTTTAGTCTCCTATATTTTCTTTTATATCATGAACTTTTCAGTAAAAATACTGGTATGCTGTCCCAGGGTTGTGAACTGATCTTCTGCTTGACTCTTCCCCTTATTTCCTGAAAATGAAAAACTTAAGGATATGCATTTGAGGAGGTCGTCAGTAATATCTATGACAGTTTTAGATTAAAGAATATTTACTTTGGATGAGGCAGAATTACTGTTCCATCAGTTTTCTGCAGTTAATCTCACTGTCATTAATTAACACTAAACAAATAAAGGAAGAAAACAGTCTGTGATAATGAACATTCATGTTGAACTTAATTTTCAAATCTCTCTCTTTCCTCTTCTCTCAGCCTGCTTTGCTGAGGGCTGTAATTTGTAAGAAAGGAGTGCTTTGTTCAAGTCCAAGAATCAAGTTTATTCAAGTTACATTCAAGTCTGTTCTTACCTGAGAAGGAAATAATAGAATAGGTGGGTGTTCACAGGAGCAACTGGGACCTACCTCTAAAGGACTGACCCTTTTAGGTGAGCCACAAGTCTAATAGTCTTTAGCAGTTATCATCACTCAAATGTGGCTCCAAAACCTCTTGTGTTTTGCCTTCCTCTCTAGGATCACAGGTTCTGTTTGTAGAGTACAAAGATATGTTTTTGTGTTTTTTTCACAAACAGATGAAATGCAAGATAGCTGGCCAGTGTTTGGCTTACGGTGTTTTGTAGTATACAAAGAAATGTGCAAGCTTGGTATGTGGCTAACTACATATGCATACTGTAGGTGCTGCTGGTAAAATGTTTAAGCTTGCAGCTATTGTTGCATTTGGAGGTTGTTAAAAGTTTTTGAGCTCTTCAAACTGAATGTGGTTTCTTTTGCTCAAAGTTATGCCAGTCTGTGTCTAGAGTTTCACTGCTGTAACCCCCCCGCTATTGTAAGGAAGAGTGTATCTATAGAAGGAACATTAAGGAGCTTATTAGCTGGTTATTTACTACTTCAAGTATCCCAGGTTAGTGTTCCACCCCTATTTGAACTCACATCTTTTCAGGTCAATTTTAATTAGTTTGCTCTCCACATTGCAGGATGTATTCAAAATTTATTAGAATCAGAATTATTAGACCAGTATTAATAAGATGTTTAGACTACCTCTAATATCAAAACATGTTGTATTAGGATTTTCTTCAGAAACAGAAGCCAAGCTACCTTACTTTGATGAGCAGATCTCATCCTACTGTCTAGATCTGTTGAGCAGAGAAGACTGTTGTTAAACTGGCTACCATAACCATTTTGAAGAGAAAATTTTCACCTATCACAATTTCTTTTTAGTATTAATGTTATATTATGTTTAATATTATTTAATACCACCTTTCAGTTTTGTGGCACATGATATAAATATCCATGCATGTTACTTGTTAATTTACAGTTCTTTTTCACTTAAGTTACACCCACACAGCAGTGTGTGGTGGGTCGCATACCATCTCATTAGGAAATCTGTGGGTGTTACACACAGGAGAAGAAAGAAAGAAAGAATGGAAAAATGAGAGAAAGTAGCCAAGACAAGCAAGTTCTTCCTATTCTTCCTTCTGTCTGAACAATTTCCCCACCCCTCCCAAATGACCAGTATGAACAATTTGCCAAAGTAAGCTTTAATTTAGTCTTTGGACATAGACTTTGGTATAAACTCTCCGTTTCCTGTGTTTAATTAATGTCCAAACGTGTTTGATTTTGGTTTGATTTTGGGTTGTTTTATTTTTTTTTTATGAGAAAATTAAAACAGGGTAGATTTTCAAAGATTTAATTTTGCCTGCATCCAATTTTCATGGCCAAAATCATGCAAGAAGGGCATCGATCAGGTGTGGTTGACTTGCATTATTTGAAGTTCAATGAATGTAAGCTATCCAATAACAAAATCCATGTATTAATTAATTTCTCTCATTCATTAAAAAACCCCCCACTACTTCACTTTACAAATGTATATTTAAAGTTAGAACTTTTGTTTTTTATATATATGCACCACACGTTTTCACTTTGCACCGCTTGTGCTACTCAATATCACATACTTGTTTTTAGTGATGATGGCAAGCATCTTAGTGTGTCATAATGCTCACCTACTGTAGACTTAAACAAGCTAAAAGCAGAGCCTGTTCTTTCATGTTCCACAGAAGGTGGCTGTTTTTGATTAAGAGCAATGAGAATTAAGTAACAAGAGGCTATAAAGAGGACCGAGTGGAGATACTCAATACAGGAGAATGACAAAGGGAGGACTGTGGAAAATTAAGGAAGAAGGCAAAGTTTACATGGACACAGAGGAAACAAAAAGGAGGATGCGGAAAGAAAATATGGCTGGTAGAAATGTCCACGTTAGAAATGGAAGGAAGGAAGAAGGTATCATGTAAACTGACCACCTTCGCCCTCTTGAGGGAGGGGGACAAGTGAACTGTGTTTATCCTACAAGTAATTTTCAGATCTTTTCTCATTCCTTCCCTAGCATCCTTATTGTTTTTCTTGGCTTGAAGGTGGAACATTTTTGCTCTGATTTCAGATCTTTTTATTGTACAGTCTCTTCTACAGTGAAAATAATTAGAGAGCATGCTGTCACATGGCACAGTGAGCTCCCAGCTTGATTTTATCTGCTTTCTCTAGGATTGTGTATTTTTTTTTTAATATTTTTAATCTAGTTTTCTAAGGAAATGGGGCTTATTGTGATCATGTTTTCTCTGCGTGTATCTGTTTGTCTGTCCATCTTTTCCCCCAGTTGCTTTTTGCAAACGTGATTGAACTTAAAACAGGTAGAAGTCTCAGACATTAAATTTTCAGACATTACCTTCTGATAAGCTTACTAAAATGAGAAACTGGAAGAGGTGCAAGCACTGAGTAGTTCAGCCTTACAAAGATCTGGAGTCAAAGTTCACATCTTATTTAATATTAAAAAATGCATAAGATGCAATTTCATAAGAAAAGATATTTTTGTTCTGTTGCTTATGAAACTGTTTGGCTTCTGTAAGCACACAAAAAATATACAATAAATCATGATAGTAAATATTCCGAACTGTTTTGGCCTTGCATTTAGATTTGAACATTATGATGTTTTTAAGGAAAACATCCTTTTCAGACTGCCCTCGTTTGCTTTAGGAGTGTTCCCTATTACTGTAGAACATGAAATGTGTAAGATGTTGGTAGGGTATGTTCCATGTTACAACCCTGTAGCAGCAAAACTGATTTATTCCCACCCTCCCATCTGTTAACTCTTACTCCTCTGCTGTGTTTTGTTTGGTTTTAACTAGAATCATTTCACCTATCATGCTTAAAGAGCAACTTCACAAAAATTTGATGGGCACAACTGGAGCAAAAGTAAGCTATAGCAGATAAGTTACCACAGGGCACTAAGGAGGACAGAAGTCTTTTAAATGAACTTTGATATTTGCAGTTGCACATTATAATTTCTGTCTCTCAAAAGAATTATATTGCAGCTTCTTTACAATGGACTCATTTATGATTTGTGGCCAAGTCCTGCAGATCTTTGTGAACTTTAAACTTACATTCATGTGTCTGTGACCAGAGAGCCTCATAGCTCCCTGAAGTATGCAGTAACTTATGCAATAACTTATGAAAAATGTTTTGGTTAGTATCTTGTACTTAATATTTCCTTTATTTTTGCTTTAGATTGCTTTTTTCCATTTTTTTACAGCCAGCTAATGCGGAGTACAGACATCTTTTTTCACCAAAACGTTTTTCTTCTTGAAGATCAAGGTTATATATCTGAATTTTTTTTTTGTTCTTTTCTCAGGGTAGAAGATATTTGACAAGAGAAAAAAACCCCATACTTATGCACTGTTTGGGTGTTTTCTTTTTACTGATTTTTTTTCTTATCTTAGATTATAATACAATAGAATTGGGAAAAACTGCAAGAAGGGCAGCAAAGATGATCCAAGGTGAGGAAATGCAATACAAGGAACATAAAAATACAGGGAACAGTTAAGTGTTCCAGTCTTCGGCCTGGAAAATATATGAATTGGGGAGAACGCAACAGAGATCTACAAAATCATTTCTCTCTTCTTCTCTTCCAATTTGAGAACAAGAGGGCATCAAATGAAGGTATTGGAAGCACGAAGGTAGTTAGCAGAACTGTGGAACTCTTTGCCAAAGGATAATGGGTGTGATAAAAGCTTACGCTGAGTCCACAGAACTGGACAAGAGCATGGGAGAGTAATCCAGGCAGGGGACAGAATTCACAGAAATCTCCTTTGGTTCAATAAAGGCCTGAGCTGAGAGAGCTTGGAGTCTGGGAGGGTATTGGGGAAATAACCACATGCACTTTGCTCTTGTATTTAGTCTCCCCTTGCAGTCATTTATAGCGACTTTTACATGCAAGGTGTTTAGCTATATTGACCTTTGATCTTACACAGTATGGCCTTTCTTATCAGTGTACTCTTCTGGAAAAAGCCTGCACTGTAAACTGAAAACTCATATGTCAGAGAGAGTCGGTGTGTTTCAAAGATTGTCAGAGAAAGTTGTGCGCTTTCTAGATTGAAGGATCTACCTTTGTCTTCCTATTGCTATACTGATATTTGCAGAGACTTTAGCAATTGCTGTCCCTGTCTTATATGGGACATTTGCAGCTGCAGCAGCAGGTGGGTTGAATGTGCTCTCCTTATTTTACTTCTTCCCTAGTTGCAGCTCCCATGTGAAGTTATTTATGGTCTTGGATAGGAAATGAAATAGTGTATTTATTTAAAGATACCCTTAATAAAGTGTTCTATATAGTTAGTATTGTATTGAAAAGCAATACCATTTATTTAAAACAACAGGAGAGGTGCTTAATTTGGTGCATTTTTGTGAGAAGAAAGAATTTGGTGTTGGTTCTGAAAACAGCCTTGACCTCTAACCTTTAATTAATATCTGCCTTAATTAATTTGATTTCTTTCTCTTGCTTCCATCTTGTTTCCATCTTTTGTTTGTCTCTTGTTTCCACATGATTTTTTTCATTTTATGAAAAGAAAAAAATATTATGAAAATTACTCTTAAGTGTGTGTACAAAAAATAAGTGTGTTTGCATGCAGAAATGTTGACAGCTACTATCTTGTATACCTATATAAACTATAAAGGTCTTTCTATAGCATCCAAGTAGATCTGCATGGTGATTTTGCTGTTAGCACTTCAGTTTATGCAAAGATGCATATATTTATGCAAATTTAAAGTTTATCTTTGGAGTTTTCATTATATAGTTAGGCAAAAAGTCAGTACCATTAATCATGTGTGTTTACAAAGTGGAATTATGTCTCCTCTTTCAGTTTATAAAAGCTGGCTGGAAGTTAATAGGCAATTAATCTCTATCAGTTAAAAATGAAGTTTGGGATACTAGTTTGATGCAGATGTTGCAAGTTAGGCAAGATGAACCCCACCTTTAATTTCTCCTTTGATATTCACTTGAGAATATCAAAGTGATTCTCATCTAGGCCAGGGAACATACAGTTGTCTTTTGAAAAGAGCCCTTAGCATCTGTTTGTCCCAACTGGGAATTCAGCATTTTTGCAATCCACACAGAGTGATTTTGAAAATCTGTCCCTAAGCACTTACCATTTCGTGTTTGACTGCCTGGTTCTTTTTTACAACATCTGTTCCTCTTGAAGGTACTCTTTCTTGTCTGCTCTGTATAGTTTTTTAAAGCTTTTGTAGTCACTTGGAAGCAGGAATACAGAGGATAGGATATCAGTGTACAGCTTCTTTGGACCTGTTTAAGCACTAAGCACAGTTGGAATAGGTAGCAGGTAGGTTTGGGGGTTTTTTTGAGTGCTCACTGTTTCAGTTGAGATTTTCTGAAGAGTAAGTTTGACTTTAAATTATCTTCTCCCATCCTTTGTGAACATGGCAAATAGGATTTCTGCTAGAAGTATTTTATAGATTCTGTGGTCTGTATTTAATGGATGCTCAAACTTGTTGCATTGAAATGTCTAAAATACCAGAGAAGAAATTATTTGGTCAGTATGATAGACCTGACTTTCCTTAGCTGTCTGACCTTTACAAATATGTGTGTGGGATAGCTCGAAGACTGTACTGCCTGGAATATGCTACAGATAAAGTACAGGAGTCATCCTCTTCTAGTGAGGGCAGTTTAACATAATACGTGCGTTCTGCTGAAGTAAAGCATTTGCTAATGATGTCTGAATCCGGTCATATCTTTTGTGTTTGGCTAAATGTTTAGTGTAGTATGAATACTCCTTTAGGATTTCATTTTTTCAGCTTGGGTACATATGATTGCACATATCAATTGCTAATATACATAGTGGGCTGCGTTGTTTAGATGCATACCTCTTGTGCGTTACAAAAAACACATACGCTGCATTCCGTTGTGCTTGTTGTCCATGTGCAGATAATGCTGTGTCTGTGTGCAGCAGTGGTGGCTCTGTGTTTGGGACTTCTAAAAAAACCTCTGAAAATCTCTGGGTGTTACAGGGGCAGAGAATCTATTTTTTTAGACCTAAGTACTCTTGCTGGGCAGTAATAGGAGTCATGAGATTGTTGGTATGTTTTAGCAGGCACGTCAGCGTTTACATCAGGACTGTTGTCAGCATCTTAGGTTTGAAGGTTTTTCGTGTAACTGCATAGGAGGGGGATAATAGCTTGATTTAGTAAAAAAAACCCAGAAAACTCAAACCAAACCCTACTATGAAAATGCAGATAATGAAAGTGGATGAAAAGGGAAATATGATTTCTAAGGGCAAAAGAAAGACTGTATTTTTTTAAATTAACTAGGTTTGATAGCTTCTTTTGACTTTTTTTTTAATTAGTTCAACTGTATATTAAATGAGATGGAAAAAAAAGAGGATTTTATTTTTATTTTGAGAAGAAATGTCAGGTTCCTTTTAAAAAAAAAAAAAGAGAAAAGTAAGTACTCTTTATTAAATGTTTCTAAAGACAGCAATATTGTTTTGGTTACAATGTGAGCAAGAAAGAATAGGGATTTGAAATGAAATCTAAAAGCAGTATGATTTCCCTAGAAATGTTTAGAGGAATTTGCTTAATTGCAACCAGAAGTTTGACCTGGAAGTGTAACGCTTTGACCTTTTAGCTGTCTGGTTTCCTAAATGTGTTGTTTTGCTCTCTCTAAACTGTGAGAAAATCTGTTTTACACATCTTTAACCCTTGTATTCCCTGAAAGTCGCAATATAAAAGTCCCCAAACTATCACCAGCAGTCCAAGAAAAACAAAAGTTGTCATTACATTTTAAGAAAAAAAATCATCATAGATACGTGTTGGACATTGATGTCCTTTCTATTTTCATTATAACTGGAAATAATTGTGGGTGTAGCTTCATGGTTAAATATGAACAGGAATTCCTTTTAAATGTTCCATGTTACCATATTACACAATAATACTCTCCATATTACACAATAATACTCTCCTTTGTGTTCTTTTGTTCTTAAGTTTCATTATCATATGACAAAGGTAGAGAGAAAATACAGCTTTTTAAATTGCAAACATTTTTGTGGGTTTATTTATATTTAGAAAATTTTTATAAGGCTTTACAAAATCTATCCAGATAGAGATGGACAGCAAATTCCTGAAAAAAGTTATGCATACTTTCTTTGTGTAAGTAGTTCAGTGAGAGCAGTTATGTGCATTTGATTCACCATTGAAGGTATTAGATATGTTGTGTTTATTACACACTGAGTATTTCTATTGACTACAAAGGCACAAGTGGCAGACCAGAAACAAAACTACAAAGCTTTGCAGGGCTCAGGCCTTAATTTATTAAAAATGTATAGAAGTAAATAAAAATGGAATAATACAGAAAATAATAAAGACTTTTACTTGAAAAGAGGAGGAAAAACAGTCCTGCGCAATCTTGAATACGTGTTGTGGGCATAGTAACAGAACTTTATGTATTCCATCAACTTCAAACAGATAAGAGATATTCTAATGCAGAGCAAATTACATTTATTCAGAGAGAAACATTCTACCTGTGTACTATTCACTATACAAATCCATGGAAAACAAAATTGTTTAAATGACAAAACTTGCTTTAGAGAGGATAGAAGGTGACAGCCTTGTATTTGTTTACAGAGTAACTTTCTCTTATTCTTTTAATTAAGATACTTAGATTTCTTTTTTTGTGTGTGTGCGCATGTGGGTCATAGGATATGGGCAGTGCCTGTCTGTTCTTTTCTGTTGTCTTCCCATGGCATAAGACAGGCTCATGGTTTTTGGTCTCTTGTATAAAAGACCTTAAATTTGGTGTTTAATATTGAGAAAGAGGATGTTCTGTGTACTTTTTTTTGTACTTAGCATCTATTACACTGATGCCAGAAACTGCAAAATACTGAGCTGTGTAATTCAGGTGGTCCCTTATAACGCTGCATTCTTGAGTAAGCTATAATGAGCAGTTACAAACCGTTTTGCAGTCAGTCTCCAGCTCTTTGCACCACAACCAGCACCTGCTTCACTGCTAGAGCTGAGTGGTACTGATCAGATGATCACAATCATGGGTTGTTCTTGGTCTTTTTGGTGGTATCCTCTTTGCATCAGAGCTTGTGAAAGCAGAAAGAGATTGAAACTTATGTGGAAATAGAGCCTTTGAGCAGCTGGCTTAATTACGGTCTGTTTGCCAGCATTTAAAAAGCAAAAATACAGAAGGCTCCATTGTGGTGACTTTCTGCCTATTTGCTGTGCTCCAGAACTTCCTTATATTCTGAGTTGTTGTAAACCTAACAAGAGTCTGTTGTGTGAAAAGACAAAAACCCGTGAACCTCTGGCACAGCTTGCTTTATTCAGACAACAGCGTGAAACACGTACTGGTTCAAGTCCACACGTGTCTCTTAGAACTCACTTTCTTTTGAAGTGTCCTCTAGATGATAGAGTAGAAGAAAAGAGGAGTCATGATCATCAACATCTACCTCTTAGCTCCACTGGGCTGTCCTAACAGGAATCCTCA